GTTTAACAATGGTTAGATGACTGGATTCTGAAATCACAGCTTTCTTCTTTTTTCTCTCTCTATTTTGCCCTGTATATTGAAAGGATTTTCTTCTCTAGTTTCTGGAATGTGGTCTGACATGTGGAAAGATGAGAGATTCATGTGTACTGCCTCAGCTTCCAAGGGAATAAAGCTGAGAATCAGTGGAAGGAAAAAAGGGCTCTCATATTATAAATAACAGAATAGGGTATTATGAGTTGCAAAAAGCATAAGATGAGGATCATTTATGCTCTCTCCAACAATATGTTGTAACTCCTGAAGAACCAAAGGAGAAAAAAGAAAAAGAAAAGACAAGACAAAAAACACATGGGGTATCCTCTACCTCTGAGGAATAAAAATGTCTGCTACTCATATGTACTCTTCTTCTACGAAGGCCAATTGGGCTGTTTGGTTAAAGAAAAAAAAAATCCATCTTCAAAGACAACCTTGCTAGCAGCAGCAATGGTATTTTTGGATCAGCTCCTGATCAGAATGCATTGCTCTGAAAACACAAACCCTACTTCAAATATCTCTCACTCAAAAAAAAAAAAACAAAACAACCCCCAAAAAAACCCCCAAAAACCCCACAGAATTAAGAACTGAGCCACAATTTACAAACCGAGACAATTGGCTCTATCCAAGACTTAGGCTGAGAACAAATGGCCTCATCAGCAGAAACTACCTTCAAACATTTGAGCTGGATTCTCAAGGGAGTGACACTAGAGAACAAAGAGGTGCATAGTTGTGTACAAAATTTAAAATTCTGCTGTGTGACACACATTTAACATACCAAGTATTGTTCAAATTCCCTCTTTTGCTGACAGAATAACTGAAAGGCAACTTCATTCATAAAACTGAAAGTCAACACAATGTAATTTGTTAGAGAAATCTTTGCAACAATTAACTATACCTCTTTACAGAGACTGGAAAAAGAACAGGACTGTAGGAGGTGGCCAACAGACTATCAGATTTTACTCTGATACCATTTTAACACTGTCTGCAAAAGCAGTCATTGTAGACAGTAACTACAGAAATCCCAGAAAAACAAATTAATTATTCGAGAACTGTTTTGTTGTATGTCTGTAATTTCCTTCACAAACAGAAGAGGTCCTCAATCTTGTGGTTAATAAGCATAAGCTGTGTAAAGTTTACTGCTTTAACACTTCAACAGCTCATGGAGCGTGACTTGTAGCTCCTCCAGTACGAACCTGCGGTATGAACCTCCTCCAGTAAAGTTCTTAAATTACAATCTACTAAAAGCAAAGGTTGAAATTTTAATAAAGTGGGGATTTTGGGGTTTTTTTTTTCCCCACGAAATTACTCAAAACAACCACAAAAAGTTTTTACATTAAGAAAGCCTATAAAGCCTCAGACTTAGTGAAAGAGTATATATAGTGCAACACTGCCTGCTAATATAAATGGACTTTGCAGACCAAGCACAGGGACACCATGACAAAAGACACATGCAAGTACAAGCCAAAGCACATCTGTATTTTCAGTCCTCATGTGCTGGAAAGCAAGAATATTTCAATGTTACATGTGGGGGTTACCATGGGTTAGGACAACATTGTCAATTAAAATCAGTTACATCAGACTTATCTGGGAACGTTCTAATAATCTGACTTAAGAAATAAATGTGACATTTTGGAATTTGCTTTTCTGGCTGGTCTGAGGACTGCAAAACAACAACAGTTTATCCAAAGAAAATCTGAAGCCCATCTTTGCTGACCTGCAGAACTCAGTATATCAGAAAAGCCAAAAATTGCTGAAATACCATCTAGTACATTAATTATTAATTGTTTCACTGTTATATTGTTCTTTTCCCCCCTGCAACTGTTTGATGTTTCCATGGAGACTTGGTAGGGTAAGGACACTCTTTTTATTGCAAGTGAACGCACTGTTCATTTCAACAAGATCATGACTTTATATTGGATACTCTTAGTAATACTGCAAAGCAAGTTTAAAACACACCACAAAAAGCAATGACGTTTTCAAATTGGCTACGCAAGGGGAAAACAGTTAGACCACTATTTCACTATACAAGAACTGAAGTTGCGATAGCAATCATTTGTTGTGGTGTTGTGTATTTTCACATTCCCTTTCTATGCATTGCAAATGCCTCCATAATATTATAAGTTACGAGTTACAAAGATTTTGTTAAAGACAGTTATATCTTTTTATTAATTCATACTGATATTGACAAAAACAGAGGTAGCTACTTGTCCACATTCAGGTAAAAGACAAAGAACTGAAAAAAATAACTGAAATATGAGGACAATGTTTATAACACATTTATACTGCTTTTTTCAGTGCCATAATTGGGTATGACCAAGATAAGAGACTATGGCCAGTGGTGCAGGGAAGCATAGAAACAGTGCAGTTGTGGCCATATTGCTGTAACTATCTGAATAATTTTACTTATTAGTTCTTGAGAAAAAAACGAAAGAATAAAAAAACCCACCCCATTATCTGACCTCTGGAAGAACCTAACTGCCTTCAAAGAGTTATATGACTGTTTTTCGCTCATTCTTGAATCTTGACAGCCAGGTGAAAGTACTTAGCAACTTTTTATTTTTTTTATCTACTGCTATAGTGTGGCAAAGATCTTTGATTTTGAGTTCCTTTTTCCACACTATTTTAAAAACATAATTTCAGTTTTTTTTGTTTCTAAGACAAGAAACTAAAATAGAAAGGGTCTGTATCAGAGAGGAACAAAAACCAGTCCCTCTTAGGTACTGTAGTTCTCTGAAGATTTATACTAGCGTAGATGACCACAGAACTGCATTTCTCTTTGTCTTCTGGCTTTTATTTTGTAACTGGTTTTATTGGTGTTCTTGAAGGGAGTGGAAAACAAGGGCAGCCTTAAGCTTGTAAGCTAAGGGAGTTTCCAGATAACATGTACAAAACTAAATGATCTCCACCTTGAATTTGTATCTTTAAGTACCTTTTAATATGTTGGTTTGCAGCTGTATTAAAAAGACAGTCACAACCTTGTCACTACCTTCTGTATAACACTGAGGTCCTTCTGGCTCTTAAGCTATAGTATGCAAGAATTCTACATAAGGCAAAATACTTTGTAGGCCAACCCTACCCAACTGGTTTTTCTTTTCCCTTCTCTCATGAGGGTGGACTTGTGTATCATGCTTATGGAATACTGAAAAGTGCATGGATTATTAAATTCAGTTTTCAGCAATAAAATATTATTACTTCATGTAATGTGATAGTACCTGGCAGTTCAATTCAGGAGCAGGATTATATTTTTAGATCCTATTCAAGAAAAATAGAAATCTAGTTTCTGCTTCCAAAATCCTACAATCTAATTTGAGCAAAATAGACATTCTATGAGATACAGATTTAACTGAGCTGTAAGGCAGATACAGTTAACAAATGTGGGCACATGCAGTAGAACTAGATGCTCTTTACTAGTTTTTAAAGTACAATGTTTTTTCAGTTACAGCTTTGGGTACTACTCCCACTTCTACCATTAGTTTGATATATGCTATTAAAAGAATGTCTATATTTGTCTATATGTCAATTTTCTAATCTGCAAAATTGCAACACTTGTTCACAAAACACCTACAACAATTCATTAATGATTAAGCAGCAATTTTAAACCTGCAAAGTTTCAGCCATTACTGTACTGCCTGCCAACAAAATACTATTTTCCTATAACTAGTTGGAGAATTTCAGAGTTGATAATTTTTATAACATCAAAAACTTGATTAAAATAGTTCATAAGAACTGCAGTGTCAGAAAGGGAGTCCTTTTAGCAATGTAAGTCCTCTATAAATAAAAAATTCTTCACAGAAAACATTATGCTGTAGCCATATGCTTGTTGCACATTGCATTCTTTTGCTGAATGTTCAAGTGAATATTTTTTGAACATACTTCTCTGACTATACCACCAACTCACAGTAATGTGCACTATTAGAAACTGCGACATTATGGGACAATTTGCCACCTGTGAGTGCTGTTGTAGTGGAGTCTGTTGAAAGCTTAAGGCCAGCTGACGCATGTTTATAAAAATAAATTGGCAATTCTGATAAGGCACAGAAATGACTTTTAGGAAGAGCATGAGTGATTTCAGGCTGCAAGAAGAGATGGGTGGAAAAGAGTAGATTTTTTTTTAATTTAAACATTGTTGTTAAAACAATGTGTATAGCAACCAAATTAATCTCTCTCAACTAAAGTCTAATAGATTGTTAAAGTCAAGATGACTGTCAGGTGACAGCATACATTACAGCAGAGTATCCGATGAAAGCATGAACTAGAGTTCCCATTTTCTTTGTGATTTTTATTCTTTCCAAGCAGAGGGGGATTACTTTTGTTTATGAATTGTGCAGACTTACTGCCAAAAAAATAAACACTATTTCTCTAACCACAGAATAATTTAGTGATCAAAATAGAAAGCTTTAATCATCTCTTCCAACAATTATATTAGACATAAATCAGAACCAGTAGTTTTATTCAGTGACACTAAAAAGAAAACCCTAAGTTATTAAAATGCTAATTTCTGCAAGACATTTCACTTACAAATTGGCCTAAGGTCCTTTAAGGAGAGCATAAAGTAAAGCTTTAGATTCAATCAGGACACTCATCATTTTCTCTTTTAAATGTCTGAGAGCGCTATGTCAAATAGTTGTCCTCATGCATTCCTTATTGTTTTTCCTTAGGGCCATTATCAGTTATGGTCAGGCTAGACTTTTCTGAATTGATTGAATACTAGCTGCAGTAGCAATTTATATACCCATTAGTACCAGTTCTTGAAGATTTGTGAGAGAGAAAGAAAAACTATACACCACGTTATTTAGATTTTAAGCAAATAAAAATAGAAAATAAACACATTCCTCATTTCCTGCTGTTCAGATACACATCACTGAGTTCAGCATTTTGAAAACACAAAACCACTACCTAAGCCTTTAACTTTAACTTTCCAGTAGTGAAATTCCATGCCAGTGAATAATATTAATCTGAAATCAAACCTTTTCTTGAATCAGCCTCTGTAGATGAATCCCACATGACAACATTGCCGAAAACATGGTGAGCATGTACTGCTGAATTTTGCATATTCCATTTGCCAAGGAATTTAGTACAGCTGTTAATCCCACCTTTTCAATGACACTCTGGAAAGCATTGGGTGAATAACGAGTCATTCTGCATAGAGCCTACAAAAGTGGAAATAAAAAAGTTATTTAAAGGGATTATTATATCAAGAAAAATTATGGAGAATGAAAACAGGTAGTGACTTTTCCAATAGTTTAGAAATACAGAGAATTCATACAGTTTCATTCATAAGACAAATATTAGAGGAAAAGGCTACTTATTTTGAGAGACCTGGAATTCTTCTAAATGTATTGATATACACTCTATGCAGCTAAGACTGAAATATTTGGTACACCAAATAGTCACATTACT